TTCTCCTTCTATGATGACAAGTACAGACACATAGATGATCATCATCATGTCTTGCATGATACTAATAATAATAATATACTTGATTTTTATTGAAATTAATATTTCATAATATTAATAAAACCTCTTTAGGGTTGAATTTAATGAAACATAAAAGTCAAAAGAGGAGTATTGTCTTGAACGTTGAATTGTTTCCAAACAAGGATTTGGTCAAAATTAGTGGATTTTGGACCATACAACACAATGATTGAAGGTCAAAGGAACAACACTATTATTCAAAAGAAGTATTCAAAGCCTATTGTGAATGGGCTAAGTCAAAGAGAGATTTCAATATTCAACGAAAAATAAAAGGATAGAATACTACTTTCACACTCACTTTATTTATATAAAAGGATCCTCCAACGAATTAAAGAATCACATAAACCATACACCCATTTTATAGAAACCAGAGAGATTCAAAATTTTTGCCAAAAAAAAACAATGGAGGGTTCAAGTTCAACTCTTCAAAACAGCAACAACGATAATGTCAAATCTCATCTACGACGGCATAGGAACACTCACGGTGATACTCAGATTAACCGTCTTTCTGGGCCACTTCGAAGGGCCGGCAGCACTCCCACCAACCATGGTCCTCCGCCCAAAAAGAGCACAGGCGGCGGTGGTCAGACAACTAAGATCGAAGTTGAAGTTTTCTCTCTTCTATGTCTAAGAATATAATTAGTGCTCCAAAACTTTTTTCGAAATAGATTTCTAGTAAAAATTTTGGTGGCCAGATAACGTTTTATGTCTAAAATTTTTATTTCACATTTCTTTAATTTACTTGGCCAATATTATATTAACTAACATTTTGTTTAATTAAAATAAATAAATAAAATGAAAAAGAAAAAACAACCTCTTGGGTTAATTAAAATAAAATAAAAACTAGTGAGGCAACTATAAAATTTATGTAATTTATGTAATTTACATATGATTACAATAATAGAATAAAAATATATGTAATGTATAAAAAATTTAAAAAGATATTAAAGTACTATTTTAGTCCATTTATCTTGGATTTTAATAATTATAACTTTTTTATACGAGAAGAATATGTTTCAAAAATTTATAAAATTAAAAGCTATAGTTATTTATTTATTATTATTATTATTATTATTTTTTTAGAAAAACCAAACATAGGATAATATTAGAGATCATTATGAAGATTTTGGTAAAATACATCGATTAAATTTAAGAATTAGATTGTTATCAAATATAATGAAATTAAAGGTAAAGAAACTAAATGATCTTTTAAATTAAAGGCATTATATGTCAAAAAATCCTCGAGTCAAAAACCACACATACAACAAGCCAACAATTCAATTAGATGAGAAAGACGGTAATGTAGGACAGGTCTATAGAACCAAGTCGTGGCGGGGTGTGTTAGCGGGGTGAGTCACAATGGATTAACAACAATCTACCCTAAGTGTCTATAGAACTAATAACCTGATTGCTTTGGTACTAAATTTGTCACACCCTGAATTTCAAGGCGTCAAAAGACAAAATGTGACACAAAAGACTATGTAATGTAAGAAGAGTGAATGAGGTAGAGTGGAAAGGGAAGTGAAATCTCCTCTAGTGGCTGCTGCTGGCCTATGAATCTAACTAACTTCATCTTTAAGAGATGCCGATGTGGTTTACTAGGTCTTCAGAGCGGTCTAGTGGTCATGACAGTAACTCATGTCTCCAACTTCATCAAATTCAACTCTCGGGTCTGTTATGGTAAAGAACTCTAGGGTATCACCCTCTGATCATTTTTCATGCTTCCATCGTGCTCAGACCTCTGGAGGCGTTCAATCCTAAGTCACTGCCTAGCCCATCTACGTTCTCACCCTAGACATATGTCAATCATATTTCTTATTCTCTATCGGGAAGAATCACACAATTATTCACCTTGAGTTAATGTGTAGCTAACAACGCACAGAATCATTAATGCTCAACGGGACAATAACATCTATCAGCATCTAGAGCACATATACACAAATATCTCATCCACCGTGAATATGTATGCAGTGTACCATCAAGAATATTTCAAAAACTAACAAGTCTCCTTTCATATTTAGTCACGCCGACACAAATTGTTCTTAAATTAGGTACCTATGATTAATTTTACTAGCATGCAAGCATTAGCAAGTGAAACTTATATGTTTGTCACATGCATTACGGGCCAAAAAAGTCACAAAAAAAAATTGTAAAAAGCTCCTCGACAAACCTAATTACACCAAAAATAGGATTAGTATTGAAATTAGATGTAGGCAAACAAGGGTGAAGCAAGTTCACTCACACGCTTCTCACGCGCTGGAAGAATGTTCCACGCGTATTTCCACGCGCAGGCAAAAGTTGTAGTCGCGAATCACCATTCGGGTCGCAGGGTCGGGTTTGGATCAAGATTTTGATTCTGGTGTAGGGTTCTGATTCGCTTGCTCGGGTCTAGAATCGAACGTAGGTCAAATGGGTTGGGTTGGAAAAATTGGCGTGCCGCGTGTTCTTGTTTAGCGCCATACACGTCTGGCACGTGTTCTACCAATGGCTAGATGCGTCTTAGTTCCTTTGGCCGTCACGTGGTCATCATTGATTGCCCTGTGTTCAATTTTTTTCCAACTTCAGGTCCGTGATGCATTTCAACCAGTTTACTTTGAATTTCTTTTTATCTTCAAACCCGAAACTCAAACAACTTGGTTTGTTCACAAAAAAAAATATAAATCTCTAATCCACCTATCTATATACGATTTTCTTGTAATTTTTAGGCACACAACAACCTTCATTATCGAGTACAGACTTTAGAACAAATAAAATTTCTTACGAATCCGATTACTGGCCTAGTTTTAACACAAAAATGGCAAGAAACCTTCTCTAGATCATCATAATCAAATATTATGACCTAAAAGCATTCAAAACCCTCCGATCTTTGAGCAAAATTTTAAAATTAAAGACCCGGGGAATAACCTTGTGTTCTTGCTGGTTTCTTTACAAAATCGGATGATCCAACAACCCAGACCGATTAACCTTGATCTTCTAAATAGGTCTAGAAGAATCTTGTGCAAAATCCATCCTCCAATATTGGAATAAATTTTATATAAAATCAGTTAGATTTTCCTTGACCTTAATAGTATATTTGATATATTTTATCTTATTTTTAAATTTGGTTAGTAGAATATTTTCTCTTATTTCTAAGATTTAGTTTATAGTTTGTATTTTATTTAAACGTGGTGAACATTAATGAAAATCGAATTTTTTATCTCACCTATGTTTCTCGGACGTTCGATCCCACTTATGTTTCTCATTCTTAACATCCAACCATCAGATCGAGCATTTTCTTTACTTTCTTCTTCTTCCAACACACAAAACCCTAACTCTCTCTTCCTCTCTCTTCTTTTCACTTCTTTGAAGGTCAACCCTTAAAGTTGCCAGTGGTGGTCAAAATTACCTCTTTGCCCCCGTTGCCTTTGCACAAAAATTTCCAATTAATCGATTTTTATTTTATCTTTTCTAGGTCTCTCGAAGCGTCCCAAACATTTTTTTTTTCCTTATGCACCATTTTGATTTTCACCTTCTAAGGTCCTAATAAAATCTCGAAATTTTCAAAATTGAAGGCGTTTAACTGAGAGCTATGTACTTGTTAGGCTCGAGTGTTATACTTTCCAAAAATACCTTTTTAGGACTATTTTTCCAAAGTAGCACTTTAACATGTCCTTACTTGAACATTTCCATACTCCTCCAAACATAGCATGTAGATGAATCATAAATCATAGATATTATAATCGAGCTTAAAATAAAACTCTCTAGTTGGACTTAAAATGAACTTTTATATTTAATCATAACATATACACGTAATGTTTCTTAACTTTGAACATGATATGTAGTTAACATTTTAATACTTTTTGTCACATTTACTTTACAAAAGTTTGTTCCTAAAGTAGGTTTTACATAAATAAAGTATTCTAAATGTCTATCTCCCACTTATCATAATCGTGTTCTTGTGATAACGGGAAAACGATTGTGTGGCACTTGTTCTAACCAAGCAAACAAGTCAGCCTTGAGAAATTCAGACGTCATGAACAACGTCGGCGTATGTGCAGGCCTCAAGTCATGTTACGAGAAAAGGTTTAGAAAATGTGAGCGAGGAAATACATTAGAAACCGGTTTGAAGAATTAAAGAAATTAACGTTATATGACTATAAGCAAAGAAACGAATACCATGACTTAAATATCATATAACTCAAGGTAGGAAGAAGTGACAACTAGTCATATTTCCCTATAGTACATTTTGGGGCATTTTAGTCCTGGTAGACGTAGACGTGATTTTGGTGAGCGATCATACACCCCCGTATTGACTCAATATGAAATGTTAAAGGCCTATCTAGGACGAAAGCATGTAAAAGGGGTTTGAAACGGACATGCAACCATGGACAACACGTCCTAGACAAGCAAGACCGATATCTATCATGAGGCCATAGACAACACGCCTTGGATAAGCATGACCATAACATCTCCCACTCAATTTTTAACGGGACAAACAAATTATGCTTGATAGATTTTAAAAGTACTTATTTTGTGATATACCCAAAAAAAAAAAAAAAAAACCTCTTAGATTTTTACTGAAATTAATATTTCATAATGTTTATAGTTGAATTGAATGAAAACTAAAAGTTGAAATGTGTGGAAATAGGAGTATTTGGTTGATCGTTGAATTGTCTCCATACAGAGACTTGGTCAAAGTTAGTGCATTTTGGTCTCATACGACATAATGATTGAAAGTCAAAGGAACAGCATGATTATTCAAAAGAAGTATTCAAATCCTATTGTGAATGGGCTAAGTCAACGAGAGATTTCAATATGCAACGAAAATGAAAGGATAGAATAGTACTTTCACACGCACTTCATTTATATTTAAAGAGACCTACCATACACCCATTTCATAGAAACCAGAGATTCAAAGTTTTTGCTACAAAAGAAGGAATTAAACGATGGAGGTTTCAAGCTCAACTCTTCAAAACAGTAACAACGATAATGCTAAAGCTAGCTATCTACGACGGCGTAGGAACACTGTCGGTGGTACTCAGATTAACCGTCTTTCTGGGCCATCTCGAAGGGCCAACGGCACTCCCACCAACCGTGGTCCTCCGCCAAAGAAGAGCACGGGTGGCGGTGGTCAGACCAACTAAGATCAAAGTGAGAGTTTTCTCTCTTTTTTGCGTTCAGTTGTGTAATTAGTGCCTCCAAAACTTTTTCGTAGAGAAATAACTCCGTGAAAAAGTAAAGATTTGTTGAGGATTATTGGGATTGGGAGTGTCCCACATTGGTTAATTTAGTGGAAGATCATGGGTTTATAAGTGAGGAATACTATCTCCATTGGTATGAGGCCTTTTGGGGAAGCCCAAAGCAAAGCCATGAGAGCTTATGCTCAAAGTGGACAATATCATACCATTGTGGAGAGTCGTGATTTCTAACATGGTATCAGAGCCATGCCCTAAACTTAACCATGCCAATAGAATCCTCAAATATCGAACAAAGAATGGCGAGCCTCGAAGGTGTAGTCAAAAGTGACTAAAGTGTCGAACAAATGGTGTACTTTGTTCGAGGGCTCCAGAGAAAGGAGTCGAGCCTCAATTAAGGGGAGGCTATTCGAGAGCTCCATAAGCCTCAGGGGAGGCTTATAGTGTGCTTTGTTCGAGGGGAGGTGTTGAGGATTATTGGGATTGGGAGTGTCCCACATTGGTTAATTTAGTGGAAGATCATGGGTTTATAAGTGAGGAATACTATCTCCATTGGTATGAGGCCTTTTGGGGAAGCCCAAAGCAAAGCCATGAGAGCTTATGCTTAAAGTGGACAATATCATACCATTGTGGAGAGTCGTGATTCCTAACAAGATTTTGGTAGCATTATTTTTTAACTTTGTATAACTTTTTATCATTAAAAATGTTATTTCTCATGGGTTTAATTCTCTTTTCCTCTTTACAACGTTTCTTACATTTCAAAAAATAATCATTGAGAGTATTTGCTAAAACTATCGTACGAAAGTTTTCTATTTATAATTAAATAAATTACAAGCATATAGAAAAAGTAATTAATGGAAAGATACCTTTGTGGTAAACCATATATATATAAAAACTATAATTCAGTAATAAATATTTTTAACCCTTAGTAATATTATATTTACTCATTCCTCCTAGTTTAATTAAAATAAAAACTAGCCTCTCTAATATATATATATATATTACAATTAATAGAACAAAAGTAAAATTACTATTTTTGCCCATTACCTTCCAATTAATTTTATTTCAGTTTTTTTTTTTTTTTTTTGAAAAATCAACTATAGAGATTATAATTAGTAGATTGTTTTAAAATATAATGAAATGTCATGTTCTTAAATTTTAATATGTTGATCTTGAGAGGATTTCGACCTGAAATTCTTACTAATTTTAAGAAACAGTAAGAACATGGTTTTCTGCCATCTTTGAGCGTGTTTTTATTTTCATGTGTAGTTGATAAATAATTGAAATTTTTTTGTTTAAAAAGTAGAGTTAAACACTACAAATTTAGTGACACAACCCAGTTGAATTGAATATGGTAGAAAAAGTTATGAAAAATCAAATAAAATAGTAGGAATAAAAAGAAAATTGAAAACGGATCATATAAGATGAATTATAGGTTGACACACGTAAGGGAAGAGAAGCACAATACATCAAGCCCAGTAGAGGACTTGGGTCAGACAAGGAGAAGAGATGCACGTCGGTGCTTGACGAGGTCAAGCATTACGACTATAGAGGAGAACTTGAGACTGCATCTGCTTCGACCCAATTCGAATCAATGTGTGACCTTGTTCAACACTCGCGTCTCAAGGTGAGTGCCTAACCTGATCAAACTTGGACGCACCTATCATTGAGCGCCACGTGTTGCGTACAAGCATAGTATGCACTCCTAAAGCGAATCGAACCTGCGCACTTGAGAAGAGATGATGATGACCTAAATCAGACTAGGGCGCTACACATAAATAAGACTAGGGCGCTAGAGTTAGGTTGACTAGATGATGACCTAAATCAGTACATTTCTAATAGTCTGTGTATCTTAGGACAGTGAGCAGTGGTTGACAAATGAGATGATCATAATCAAGTAAAAACATAAAGAGTCAATAGTATATATTGTATATAGGGGTGTACATAGTCCGGTTGGGTTGGATTGGGAGATTTTTTTGACCCAACCCAAAAGTTCGGGTTGGTTGGATGGGTAACCCAACCCAACCCAAAACTTTTCACAACCCAACCCAAACCAACCCTCTATTTTCGGGTTGGGTTCGGGTTAGGTTGTCAATTTTTTTTAAAGTTTTTTTATTCACAATTTATAATTATTCGATACAATCAGATAAAATATATTAAAAGTTTACAAACAAATCCAAATTAATCTATAATTATTGGAGAAAAAAAAAATAAATTCAATAAAAAAACAACGAGAGAAAATTGTAACATATTAATATAGTTCAACATTGTCATAAAATCAAAGACAACTAAATATCGACATTTTTTCGAAATTGGTTAAAATAACAAAAATACGAGATAGATCATGAAATTAAATAAACAATAAAAATGATTAATGGAAGGATATTCCATCTAATAAAAATAAAAAAATATATAAAAATATTTTAATTTAAATATGCTTATTTATACGTGATCATGGACAGTCTTAAACTATTAAAAAAATAAAAATATATATAAATTGTATATTAGAATTTAAAATATGTTTTAAAATTATATATATAATATATAAAATTTATAAACAGAATCGGATAATTAATAAACCTTTGTATTATATAATCAATAGCTATAAAATGTATTAATTTTTTCGGAATTGGTTAAAATAACAAAAATACGAGATAGATCATGAAATTAAATAAACAATAAAAATGATTAATGGAAGGATATTCCATCTAATAAAAATAAAAAATATATAAAAATATTTTAATTTAAATATGCTTATTTATACGTGATCATGGACAGTCTTAAACTATTAAAAAAATAAAAATATATATAAATTGTATATTAGAATTTAAAATATGTTTTAAATAAAAAATATATAAAAATATTTTAATTTAAATATGCTTATTTATACGTGATCATGGACCGTCTTAAACTATTAAAAAAATAAAAATATATATAAATTGTATATTAGAATTTAAAATATGTTTTAAAATTATATATATAATATATAAAATTTATAAAGAGAATCGGATAATTAATAAACCTTTGTATTATATAATCAATAGGTATAAAATGTATTAATAGTTATAATGTTAGCGTGTGATATAACAATTTTGAACAAACAAATAATAAATACATTGGAAATTAAAATAGAAGAATAATAGGGTTGAACTCAAAGCGTGAATGTTCTTAGACTGGCCTCAATACCACTCTGGCAAATTCGTTAATATAGAAGGATTATTAATATATTTTATATATTTTTATTTGGCTCGGGTCAACCCGAAAGTTTTGCCCATGAACCCAAAACCGAACCAATTCAGTTCGGGTTCAGAAAAATGAACCCAACCCTACCCAAAATGGTAATCCAACCTAACCCAACCCTTATAGTTTGGGTTGGGTTGGTCCAGGTTGTCGGGTTGAATGTACACCCATATCCTCTTATTTAAAAATGTTAAATATAGTTTGAGTATTAAAAAAATAATAATAAAAAAAAAAAAAAAAAATCTAGTTCATGGTGGGACCAACTCAAAAGATTGGGTTGGTTGGATTATCCAACCCGACCCAAAAAAATTTTCACAACCCAACCCTCTATTTTCGGGTTGGGTTTGTCCATTGCTAACTTCTTTTTTAAGTCTTAAATTTTTTTATTTATTCACAATTTACAATTATTTAGAGATAAAAAAATATTAAAAATTCACAATAAAAAAAAATTTATGACATCTCAAAGAGAGCATGGAGTGTTCTAGTAAACCCACGTTCCCACTCTAACAGACCTTTAATTTATAAGTTTTATTTGGTTTCAGGTCAATCCGAATTTTTTAAACTATGAACTCAAAACCGAACCGAGTCACTTCTGATTCAGAATAAACAATCCAATCCAACCCAACCCAACCCCTATAATTCGGGTTCGATTGGTCTGGGTTGTTAGGTTGGATGTACACAACCATCTTTTTGGGCCACCTCAAAGGGCTGGCAGCACTCCCACCAATCATGGCTCTCCGCGGGATAGGAGCGTTGTTGTTGTTGTTGTTGTTGTTGTTGTTGTTGTTGTTGTTGTTGTTGTTGTTGTTGTTGTTGTTGTATCAAGAATAGAAGAAAAACGAAAGGTATGAATATTGAGTTTTTATTCTCAATTTTTCTCTAGATCGAGTAGATTTATAAATATAAAGTATTATATTCTAAAATTTTAATATAATGATCTTCGAGAGAACGTCAAACAAATTCCATGAAGAAAATTTGAATTAGATTCAGAATGAAAGATGCATGAAATTGTAAAAACATGGTTTTCTTCCACCTTTGAGCGTGTTTATATTTCCTCGTGTAGTGGATAAATAATTAAAACACTACAAGTTTAATCAAGCTCAATAAAGGGCACGTATCAGGAAAGAAGAAAAAATGCAAGTCAGTATTGACGAAGCAACACGTTACAACTGTAGAGGATGACTCGAGACTGCATGTGCTCAAACAAATTCGAATGAATACATGACTTGATTCAAGACGTGCTAACTCAAGTGAATCGTTATAAACTAATGATAATTTACTAATAAAATAATGAAATCATTATAAACTAATGATAATGTACTAATAAAATAATATTCAAATTTAAGTTCTTAATGGGAAATTAGATTTAAATTATTCAAAGTTGAATGGTCAAACACAGAATTTTGTGTCGAATTCAGCTAACAGCCAAACAATTTATTGAAAAGTTAAAAGGGTATGACTGTAATTTCATTCCAAAGTCATTCCTCTCTCTTTTATATATATATATATATAACAACGGGCTCAGATTCCATATTCTAAAATTCTTTTTTCTCACGATAGAAAAATGGAAATTTCAACTCGAGAAATAAGAGATGGTTGTAACTCTGTAAAGTTTCAATTTTGTTCTCCGACAATTTTATACAGTCGCAGCTTAGATCTGCCGTCTACATCCGTCGACCTAGCTCTTGCTCCTTC